GCCCCTCCCGACCACGCTGCTCCGACTTCCCCTCCTCGCCAACCCGGCGGGGGTCCTGATCCAACAAGGCCTACTAGCCAGCCAACCAACGTTTGATCGCATCTTCGGTCCTCTTAACTGTGTCTTGACACAGAGTTCAAGTGAGTGGTGGAAGATAGAGTGCGCTAAACAGTGCGCAAGTCTACTACCACTTTAAATTAAAACCGGGTAGCACATGGTTCAAATAGCTGAAATTGACGGTCAAACTGTCGTGCGTACTTAGGAGCTGCCTTTGGTCTGACGTAGCGATTCCGTAGATTGTGTCCAGTGTAATCTCTTTGAATTTTGCCTTTTCTATGCCTTCATATACAGTAGACGTCGAAAATCACGCAACATGCCGACATATGCGAAATAATGATACTCTTTTGCTAATCGGCATTGACTCAGGATGTGATAATGATTATCTTGTAGTCTATTCTGAAGTTATTTCAGTCATGATAGCATGCGGGCTTTTTAACGAGCTTCGTTCTGACCACTAGCAAAGCGTAGTGGCCCCTAGGAGCTACTTGGAACACGAGATCACCCGCTGACGCATAGCACCTTTGGACTGTAAGGCCTGCGCTTCCACTTCCGCCTTCGCCCATCTCAAGGTTACACCACGAGCGTTAGCCTCGACATTACCCGCGTGATTGGAAGCCGTAACAAAGCATGCACCGGCAATTCCCGACGCTCTCGTCACTCCGGAATTGACGCCTTCGCAGCCGGACTGCAGTCATCCGAGAGTCAAAACTCTCCATCAATGCTCCTACGCTTCTGTGCAGAGTACATTATTCCTAACACTCTGGCCTTCGAAAGACTTCTCTTCTCTTCTAATGAACCATGGGCCTGAAAGATCGCAATTGCTAGAGTTTAACTCACTTAACCCTCTGCGATACACACATGCACTGACAGATAGTTACCTGATTGGAAGCTTGTCAATCGAAATAATTTTTCTGCTAATGACTTGCTCATTACCTGAAATGCTCGTAGATAGGACTGATTGTACTGGCATTTTATAACCTGGCTTTATAGGAAGGATTATTTAAAAGAAACAAAAACCCCGAAGCCAGTAGAAGCAGATAAAATTAATTGCCTAACCTGGATTGAAAAGTATGATGGCCTTGAGCAGAGCCAATTCCGTGCGATCCAGTCGCATTTCGCGAAACTTGCTGATAATTTCATTTTGAATCCTAGAGGCGAGCGGCCCCAGACCATGAGCCGCTGCTGTGCTGTTGCTTAGATAGTAGCCGTTGGCAAGCAGGAAGCCAGTAGGCGCGCTGGCAGCCGTGGATCGGAAGGCCAGACTCGTCAGAAGAAGTTCTGTCCATGCTAAAGGAGAAACAATGGGGAAGGTGGAGCATTGATAAGTTGTATGCCTTGGTCCGGATATTTAAGAAAACTGCGAAATAAAGTTGCTGGAAGTTCCAGTGGTAAATGAATCAGTAACAATCGATTATGGGACAATCACGTTCTGGTTAACTTTTCATAACTGCCTACTTATTTCGTAGCAGTAAGCATATTTTGTTTTACTGTAGTGGCGTTGGTTACCTTATTCACCACAAACATTCGAATGAATGAATACGTTCGGGTTCAAGGTAGTTGCGTGAAATTCGACTTTTCGGATCCGATGACCAACGTCGGATGCGTTTCGGGTTCGATTTTTCAAACGCTCAGGTTCGATTCGATTCCGAATTGTTGCAAATTGCTTTTGGTGTATACTTCCATTATCGTGCGCTCGTTCGTTGCTATGTATTAGCCTATTTTTGTAATAATTTTATCTACTATTTCCTCTTTCTTTAGCAGTATGTT